TCGTGGGCCTCGCGTGTGCTAAGTGTTACATGCGGAGACTTAAGTTTCCAACGACTCCATGAAGTCGGTGTGTTATCGCCTCATTTTGCGGATGAAGGAATGAGTTTGGAGATGCTCAGAAGCTAGGCTAAGGCGTGGCAGGTGTGCGGGCCCTTAACCACTGCGTGCAGAGCCAGGGATGGGAGGTCTTCTCTCTGAGGGCAGGAGGAATCCGAGGGCAGGCAGGTGCTGGGTATTGACTTAGGTTTGAGGCATAAACCACGTACTAGATATTGTGCTGAATAATCCTTTGCTCCACTTACCCCATTTTTTTTTTTTTTAAGATTTCATTTATTTATTTGTCAGAGAGAGGACAGAACACAAGCAGGGGAGCAGCAGGGAGAGGGAGAAGCAGGCTCCCTGCTAAGCAGGGAGCCCGACATGGGACTCGATCCCAGGACCCTGGGATCATGACCGGAGCTGAAGGCAGACGATTCACCCACTGAGCGGCCCAGGCGCCCCCACTTACCCAATCTTGAGGAAACCTAACTTTGTGCCTACTCTGCACCTGAACCCGAGCAGCTGCCCATGGCTGGAGAGGCAGGACGATGAGCCTCAGCCGATGTCCTCCTACATTTCCCCGGGGCCGGGGGCTCTCACACTGCTGGTCAGACTGGCAGCGTCCACATCAGCGCCCCCAAGCCTGTCAGGGGTGCAAACCCAGACCTCACGTCTCCTGTCCAACTCCCCACTGGACCAGGCAATTTGTACCCAACAAGCATCCAAGCCCAAACTCCCGACCTTCCTCCTCAGCCTGCCCCCCCTCTGTCTTTCTTGGCCCAGTACCTGGTGATTCTACCCTTCTGTCTGCTCAGGCCCAAAGAATGGACTTTCCCTGTTTCTCTCCCATTTGTCATCTAAGTCACCAGGAAGCGCTGCTGATCTCTCTGGACACAGAACCTACACCTTCTCACCGGGGAGCTGTGGGCCAGTGCATGTCACTGTCACACCTCATGTGAGTTACTGTGATGTTCCCTCACCAGGTTCTTGCCTCCACCCGACATTCTGAATGAGCCTGGTCCAACTCATGGCAGATTTCATCACTCCGCTGCTCATACCCTCCTGTGGTTTCCTCCTTCTTGCCCAGAGTACAATGGCCCCAAAGGGCCTGGATGCCGGCCACAGTCGCTCCCCACCCTCCCTGCACGCGGAGGGCACGCGGCCTCACACACTTGTGCAGCTGCAGCCCCCACCCCTGGAGTCTTTGGTCAGAGGTCCCCCACATGGCCCCTGACACTTCCTGCCCCTTCTCTGCTTTATTTTTCCCCCCTGGGACCCCCCACTACCTGACACTTCATATCCATAACTAGTTTCCAGTGTTGGTCTGTCTCCCCAGCTACAACGTGTCTCAGAGATTCCAGGATGAATCTCCCAGGTCCCATAGTGAGTATCCGAATCCATCCGAATCCAGATTCTCGCCTGTCCTGGAAACCAAGCTCTGCTGCATCCACCCCGTGAAAACACCCGAACAGTAACCCCTGTGCAGGACGGGGTAGGACGGGTATCTCCACACGTGGCTTTGGTGACCGGGGCGCCCCTCATGCTCGAGTCCGCGGGGCCCTTCAGGGACGGGGAAGGAGGAGATGAGCGAGCACCAGAGGTGGGCGGCTCATCACATGGTCCCTCCCCAGGGCTCTTCTCAGGGATGGTCATTGGAACTAAGACTCTGGAAGGGCTGTGACGGGCCTCCATCACGCACACTCAGCAAGTCCTTCCCGCCACAGCTGGGCCCTCACTTCTGCCTCGTCCCTTCCCAGTAAGAACCACATCACCCTCTAAGTGGGCGCTGACGTCCTCCACACCCTCACTGGCTCAGGAAAGCAGTTCCCCCATCTGTAAGTTAACATTTACACACGCATTCTACCAACCCCACACCCACCAAATACTGATGTTACATGAGACACACACACGGTTGCACCGGAAACTTCCTCCTTGTCATCCTGTCTTCCTTCTCGTGTGCACCTGATCCTGATCCTGGCGTTCCGCTCCCTGGGGCTTTCAGGCTCCCTTCCGCCTCCTTCCCCACTACCCACAGAGCCCGGCTCCACCAACGAGCCTTCATCTCTCCCCCGAACTCAGCCCTTATCAGAGCCTGAAACACTGGGGTCTCACCCTTTCTGAGAAAACCTATGCTGTTAAATGGTCTTCCCACCTTTCCTTTCTTTTCACCACTCAGCATCTCCAAGAGCGCAGGCCCACTCGGACCCAGCAGGCCCCTGTTCGCTCTGTCTCCCAGTCCCATGAGGCCCTGACCTGGGATCAGACCTGAGCCTTTTTCAGTTCTGATGCCCCTGCCTTTGCCTTCTGTCGAGTCCAAGGGCTTTACTGATGTCCCAGGTCTTCTCTTAACACAGCAAAACGAAAATGAGAATGTCAGAAAATAAATATGGACAGCAACTCTGAGAAGCATTAGATAGTGAACAAAAGTGTGCAAAGTTTTGCAGAGTGTTAGGATATGCTTTCGACCTAAAGTTAGGGTAGACTGTGTGCACGACATCACCTCCAGCGTATACACTTAAAGGCCAGGAGGAAATAAGGGTGGTTATTTCTGGGTAGTGGGAAACAGGCAATTTCTGTTTCTCCTTCACTATTTTGTACATTTGGCGAGCCTTGCAAGCTGGCGGCCACCAGCAGCGAGTAGGGGAGTCACATCCCACGCCCGCCCCTCGGAATCCTGAGCTCTCTTCATGGAGTTCTCCGTTTTTTGGCCTGACTTGTGTAATTTCTTTTCTGTTTTCAGAGCTCCTTTTTATTTTGTTTTGTGAATATTTTCTTGCATATTTTTTCCCAGTAATATATGTTAGGCTGTAACTATTTTCAAATGATTGCAATTCTTACTTATTTCTATCTCCTTCCAGAGGCTTCTGCCCCGATTGGTCTTAGGAACAGACCCTCACTGTGGGTTGGGGCGCTTGCAGGACCAGCCAACAGCCCTTGTGGAGGTGGGCGGGGAAACACATCAGCGGTCAGCACCCCAGTCACCTCCGTGAGAACTCTGGGACAGCCGTGCGGGGGACGGCGTCGAGGAGGGCGGGCCCAGGGGGCAGAGGGCACAGTCTGGAGGCCGACGCCACCATGGTCTGGATGATGGCTGGAGGGCTTGAACCCAGGAGTCATAGATTCCCAGCTTCCAGCTTGAGAGACCGTGAACTGCAGGGACATCAACGTGGCGGCCAACCGGGTACATATGTAAGCAGCTTACAGAGAAAGTCGGTTTGGGATAAACTGAGTGTGGGATGGCCTAGAACGGACCAGGGTTACAGGGGTGCAGCATCCCCTGTGGGGGGTGGGATCCAGAACAGATGAGATGGCTGAGGAGCACAAGCGGAGCTAGCCGACACAAGCGGGGGGTGGGGGGCACACCAGCTTTTCAGGACAGGCCCTAAAACAGGTGCTCATGATGGACACAGACACGGACAAGTCAGAAACACCCAGGCGTGCGTTATCAGCCATGATGAGGAACGGGCTTCCGGAAGGCAGGAGGGATTTGGACCAACAGTCACACCACTGAAATGAAAGGATCTGTAACACGAGGGCTACACATACATTGCTCGATCTGTCAGCTAGCAAGGCCCTGGTTTCCCTGCAGGGCAGCAGTGAGGGGCTGGCGTCTGTGAGTTGGGGGGCTGGCTGCAGAAGTCTGGGAGAGAAAGGGTGCCCGACGTGGAGTCGTAACGAGGGGGACGCAGAGAGACTGTGTGGGTAAGGCACTCAGCACCACGTCCAGGACACAGTACATGCTCAAGAACTACGAATCACCATTCACTCATCGACCACATAATAATTTAAACCCCGCTTCATGTCAGGCACCGTCTGGGTCGTGTAGACAGCGAGTGAACAAGGGAGACAAAGTCCCACCCCGGAGCTCATGCTCCAGTTGGGAGACATACAGGACTCATAATGTGTGGCGTATCAGGGGATGGTAAGTGCTAACAAGGAGAAAGCAAGCAAGGGGCAGGAGGCCTGAAATGCTGGAGGAGGGGATGCAGTTTTAGATCAGGTGGCCTGGTGGGGCCTCCCTGGAAGGTGACTCAAGCACCCATGATTAGGAAGTGAGGGCACGACTCTCTCCTAGCGCAGTGACCCCAGAGGCAGACCGTTCCTGGACTGTCTGCCGCCTTTGCCACAATTAACACCACTGGTGTCCACACTGTGGTCCCTGGTCCTCAAGAAGCTTCAGCAGCCACGGTCTACACCACAGAACGGAGTCGGGAGTGCACGGGGAGCAAAAGCGTGGCCTCATGCACCCCAGCCGCCGCTGGTTTGTGGGGCAGACGTGCAGCTGGAGATGTGCAGGGACCCCTCGTGGAGCCGCTGCGATCAGAAGCTGCACCACGTGTGTGCACAGGGAAGGCGGCCGGCGCCACACCCACCCTTCTGTCCCCCCGCAGGTAACAGGACCATCTTCAGACCCAAAGGGCAGGGACATGGGGGGCATCTCTGAAGCAGCAGGAACTGAAGCTCGAACCAGCGCAGATCACACGGGGTGCCACTTAGAGGTCACGAGACAGATGATACCAGCAGGTGTTGGCTGTCGGACTAGGAACCAGCCCGTGCCATCTGGGATGATGAAGAACTGGAAAGTGTTGCTCCTTCCCCGGCCCAGCACGATGCTCAGGCCGGACGGATGTGCAGTATGTCCTTACTGGGTCACGACCAGCAGGAGGATCAAGTCTGGCTTGTGACAGATGCATATGATTTCCTAAGAATGACCTGGACTAATTATTCTTTGTGACCCAGAGAAAATGATCTTCATCACCTCCCCCCAAAAGGAAAAAGGAAAAGAATCCAAATGCCTGAGGAAGCAGCCTCCCTTCAATCTATGTAAACTGCTACAGAATTTTTGGAGTTACGATGTCAAGAGTCTTCAACACTCACAGGCTCCAGTGGGCAGGGGTTCGGGACAGGAAATAGGGCGTGCGTTTTAAGAACAAACTTCATTCTTCAACTGAGGCAGTAGAAAAGTTTGGAAAATATCTTAGCTGCATTTTTAGGTGTGTTTATTATCTGAAGAAAGCCAACACAGAACTATCAAGTAAAAATAACCTCAAGATTAAAACGTTATGGCTTAACTAGCAGCGCTTAGAATGTGCAAATATTTCCATTATTTTCTCTCAAATGTCTGTGTAGGCATCTCCTTCCTGGCTACGAAACCAAAGTAAAACCACCGTAATGAACAAGAAGAAGCGAGGAAGGAAGGAAGTGGCAGGCCGGTTATGTTTATGGCTCTTGTACCATTAACATCATCGTCATTGCCATCCCTCATAAAACATCTGACATATTTACGTGAACACGTACTCTGGGTTACATTCACGTGGGTCATGTGCTTCTCTAAGGGCTCCAGACCCTGGCTTCATGAACATCCCCTAATTCCACTTGAAGGGCAGAAAAAGTGGAATCCGGGTCCTGGAAAGACTCCACATGTAGGTCACAGGGCTCGGGAGGCGGCGTCCTCACGGCCCTCTGGCTGGGGACCCCAACGACGGCAGTGGCAGGACGTGGTCACCGTGCCTGTCCTTGCTCAGAAGCACCCTCAGGACTCGGGGTGGCGGTCAAAGCACTGAAGGACGTCTGCGCTGCGAGCGAGCTGCTGAGCCAGGGCGCCCGAGGCGTCCAGGGAGTCGCTTAGCCCGGACAGCAGGAGGAGCTTGACACAGGCCGCGTGCTGGCCGGCGCAGGCCAGATGCAGGGCTGCGTGGAGACAGAAGCCACACGGACTTGGAGCAGGATGCCGCAGCGATGCCCATCTGGTGAGCAGCTACAACCGAAAACAAAACTCCTTCCACTATGCAGATTTTATATTTCCGTGATTCCTCTCTGTGACCTTGCCTCTATGGGATCACAGTATTTTCCCTTTTAACCTGACGGGGTTGGAAATGGTTTTAAAAACATCAACCAATTAGAGAATGTAAGAGATTTTTGTCTAAAGCCACGAAGCAAGTTCACAAACAGGCGACTTTAAATGGCACAGAAACCATTTTAAAAGTTTTGTGAATTCTCCGTGTCAGTCCTGCGAGCCCTAGGATCCTGAGTTCTGCAGACAAAGCCTTGTGTCCATGGACTTAGTGACGGTCCTGTGCAGCCTCGGAGGGAGCTTCTAAGCATCAGAGAGAGGCTTGCCAGGTGGCCGTGGTACACAGAATGTTCACAGGAGAGCTTATTCTAACCTGAGTCTGAAGAATTAACTCTCGGGGCACCTGGGTGGCTCAGTCGGTTAAGCATCTGCCTTCAGCTCAGGTCATGATCCCAGGGTCCTGGGATCAAGCCCCGCATTGGGCTCCCCGCTCAGCGGGGAATCTGCTTCCAATTCTCTCTCTCCCTCTGCATCCACCCCCCCACCTAAAATAAATAAACAAATCTTAGAAAAAAATTATAGTGACTCTAGTTTTCAAGTGCACTCCAAAGAGAGACGAACTAGGGGGACTCTGAACTGAGGCGGCCGGCAGCGTGGTGGATTTAGCAAGTGTTCCCAGGAGCACACAGCGCCGTGCTGCGAAGTAGAATAGCAGGGACCAGAGGCAGGCCCTGCCATTGCCGTGGGAACAGAGACATTGCCAGAGCTTTGCAAATATGTTGTTTCAAAGACAGGTTGCTGAGCTACTACTAGAGGAATAGTCTAAAACCAGTGTTTTTAACATCAAAGTCCGTGTATTGTTTACATCGATTACTAGTCATTCCCTAGGCGCGAGGGACATGAAGCCATACCTGATCGGTTTCTTTCATCTTTGGAATTGATGTCAGCACCCAAGGATAGGAGCACCCGGACTGTGCTCACGTGTCCTTCCTGAGGGTTGAAATACACTTGTTATCCCGTGACGAGGAAATAAACAAGCCTTTAAACACAAACTAATACATGTTAGGTACTTTTTCTAAAAAACTCAGCTGCTAAAATGGACTTTTCACATCTAGAGGGAGACTCACACAGCTCTCAGGTTGGAATGTAAGCTGTCAAATCCAGATTTTGGTGACATTTCGTTATTAAAATACAGAGGATCTACTCTGTAGGCCAAATTACCGACTACTGCTGTTGGGAGCATGCATCCTGATTCACACGGAACATGTGCTTCCAGAATCTCTCCCAGCAAACATGCTCTTTATTGGAATTTCAGAGAGAAGATAAACAGGGAGTCTGCGACCTGTCCTGAACGTTTGTCACAGCATGCATCACAGCACGTGTCACCGATTACAAGCACCTGACAGGACTCCTGTCTAGCTGGCCAGGCCTCGAGTACCCAGGGAGACAGGGAATCATGGCTGCAAATCCCTTCCATCCCCTCCGCGGCCTCCGCCAGGCTCGGGGCACCTCGTCTCTCCACTGCCTTCCTGGGGAATAGGAGAGTGCCGTTCACAGGGAAATAATTATTCCTGCTGCTGCTGGAAAAGCCAGTCGGGGTAGGTAGCCAGTGAGGCTGAAGATAACCCGCAAAACACGCCTAACAGTTGAGACCGGGCGTGTAAGCAGCGAGCCTCCACTGCAGAAATGTTCCCTTCTGGAATCTAGTGTAAGGACAGAGCAGCAGGACTTTACATGGGGGATTCTTAGGGCTGCAAATGACATTATTCCTGAAAACGGAACAAGGGCGGGTGCGAACGAAAGCCTGGACATCACACGGAGGGAAGGCTTTCCCGGAGAGACAAACCTTAGCGGCGAAATGCAGCGGCGTCAGGCGGCTGGGTGCTGCCCTGGCGTTCACGTCGGCACCCAGCTTGGACACCAGGAAGCGGAGGGCCTCGTCCTGCCCGGTGACGGCTGCCCTGTGGATGGCCTGTGCGCCCAGGGCGTCCCGCGCCGCCCAGCAAGCCTGGTGGGCGGGGGAGGGGAGGCCACATGTGAGGAGCAGGGACCTCCTGGCGGATCCCCAAGGCCTCTCTGGCCAAACACAGGCCAGACCCCACGCTCTGGCCCCCGGCGCCCTCGGTGGGCAGCCTGCGCTCACTCCTGCGGTCCAGCCACTTACTGGATCCTCCTCCTCCTCTAACTGCTCCCTGCTCATCACACACGTGAGCCTCGCAGGGGCCCCAGACAAGGACGTCTGCCTCCCGCTCGCCCACCGTGACACTGAGCCCACATCAGAGGTGCTCCCTGGTCTGAGACTCATGGGAAGAACCGTTTCTATACCTCGTGCTGTTCGAGCAGCAGCTGGGCCACATCGATGTGGCCGCACTGAACCGCGTCCATGAAGGGCGTGCAGCCACACCTGTCCGCGCAGTCGGCTCCGTACTGGCACCTGCCGCCCGAACCCAAAGCGGCAGGTCAGACAGGGGTCCCTGCCGCATGTGTGCGCACACACACACACGCTGCGGAGACTGGAGCGCGGTCCCTGTCCCCCAAACTCAGCCCCTCCTCGGACTTCCTCACCCCATTTACAGGCATCATCTTCCCCTCATGACCAGCCTGTTACCAAAGTCTCAATTCTGGGTCCACTTCTCCCGCCATGGCTCCTGACTTGCTAACCATTCTCACAGCCACCAGACCACCCTGGGTATGGCCACTCCTGCTTGAAACCTTTACCTCCCAACCACAAAGGAAAATCTAAACCCTCATGACCCTGGGGTCAGGATAATGTGGCGTCTGCTCATCTCCCCAGGCTCCTCGGGGCCACCCATGTCCTTCCTGGTCCTCCTCCTCCTCCCACCTCCTTCCCAGTCCTGCTTTTCCCAACTGTCCTACCTTCATCTCAATCCTGCCTTTTTCTTTTCCCACCTACTCCGCTGTCCTATCCTTTCTATTCCTACCTGTCCTTTTTCTTAATTCAGCCTCCAATGTGACCTCCTTCCATTCCTACCTTCTTCACAGTTACCTGTCCTACCGTCTCCCTGGTTCTCCTCTCAGTCCCGACTCCAAATGAACCTACCTTCTTCTGTTCCTACCTTCTCTATGATCCTATCTGTCCTTTCTTCTTGGTCCTGCCTCCTACCTGACCTACCTTCTTCCATTCCTACCTCTCCTCTCTTCTTCTGTTCTTACCTTCAGGGTCCTATCCAACCTACCTTCTTGGCCCCCCTTCCCACCTTTTCTACCTTCGTTAAGGTCCTATCTGTCCTACCCTCTTCTTGCTCATTATCTTCTCCTCCAGTTGCCCAGCTTTTTGCTGCCTCTGCATTTGCTGATCCCCTCTGCTTGGAACACTGGTTCTCCCTCCTTCACTTCAGATTACAGCTTCGATATGACCTCACAGAGGCCCCTCTTCTCTCCTCCATCCACAGGAGGACCTTTGCTCCCTCACAGCACTGCATTAAGTCCTGGTCTCTTCTCACTATTCAGTATCTGCTCTGATAGTCTCTTCCACTCTCGTGAATTCAGTCATCAGTTCTATGTTGATGATGCCCACCTTTGTTTCTCAGCTCACACCCCTCCTATGGGTTTCAGATCTGTGTCTGTAGCTGGCCACTCGACATCTCTGCTTGGGCACCAGAGAGATGCATCCAACTCAATGTGTCCGAAAGTGAAATTATCATCTTCCTGGCAAACCTGCTCCTCCTCCAGGGCTCTCTGTCCCAGTAAATGGCACCAGCACCATCACCAGTTGCTCAGCAAGAAACCTGTCATCCTGACGTCTCCTCCCTCACTCCCTTCATCAAATTATTCACCTGGATCTATTGATCCCACCTCTTAAGTATCTCCATGTCTTTCTCTTCACCCCTACAGTCAGGGTCTTAGTCCAGCTACCATTATTTCTCTCCTGTTGAACTGCAACGGCCTCCCAACATTCACGGCCCCCACTCCTGCTTCCCCCCAATCCATTCTCTATTTTCCTACCAGAGGATCTCTGAAAAATGCAAATTTCTTATTACTGTCCACCCGGCACTCTGCTTAAAACCCTTCAATGGCATCGCATACACTTAGAATAAAATCTGAAGTCCTCATATAGTCCTCTGTCCTCCCTAAGTCTGGCCTTCCTCATCATGCACTCTTCTCCCTGTCACTCCTGGGGCACCAGCTCACACTGGACTTTCAGTTTTCTAAAGCACCATGCTTTCTCTTGGCTCTGAGCATTCACGGGGATTGTTACCTCTGTCTGGAATGTGGCCCACCTCCCACTTTTAGCCTCCTTCGGATAGCTTGAATACCCTGGGGGCCAAGATTCCTCACTCCCCGGCAAGGTGGGTCTTCCTGGCATATGTTCCTGGAGGGATCCTGCGATTCCTTGTACTCCTGGGATTCACAGGACGTGAACAGTGAATCTTGTCTGCCAGTGTGTGAGTTCCATGGGGAGGACCCCTGTCGGCTGGCTTCTCTTGCAGCCCGTGCACATGGTATAGTGCTAAGTGAGTGCTGAGGCACTGAGTATATGAATACTTGCAAAATGAGCAGATGCATGCATGATTTTTTTTTTCTCATGTTACTTAGCAATTTTTGTTTTATATTCTTTGAGTTATGTCCTTTGTTCATCTCTCTTTGGGTATGTTAGTTTCTTTCTGAGCAATTTTTCTGAGCTTTTCCTATAGCATCGATATTAACTGTCACAATTAGGGAATCCTTCTCCCCATTTGCTGTTTTGTTCTTACCTCTGGAGAAGGACCTTCACTGCGTCTAAACAGCCATGCATTGCTGGAAGAAGAGTTGAGAGTCAGAGCTTTTTAGTGCAGGTATAAAACTCTTCTTTCCTCCTCTCTCTGCCCCATCCTTTTAGCTAGGACTTACGGGAAGCAGTCATTAAATCAGGGACACTGTTACCATTCTAGAAAAATAAAAATTTAGCTGGGTAAGTGGTAACGATGATGTTTTCACTTAACAGGCACTTAGCCAACACTCGATTTTCTTGTTTTTTTGAGCACTTCAATGGTAAATTCTCAGTCCTCAACTTTCTCCTCACTTTTGTGCTGCAAATCCTTAGGGCCAGTCAGTTTTTGCCTAGGAAATGTAAAACATATTAATAATGATCCGTGACAAAATAAGCAGGAATGTAATTCTCCTGCTAAAGAGAACGACACTCAATAATAAAGATTTCAACTATCTGTTCTCCACTCTTTTCTGTGAATGGCTAGGTGCTGATTGTTTCTAGGGGAACTAGTCAAATAATTCATAGCAGAGAAAAGTTTTTCTACTCACTTGTAAAGATTTAAAAAGAGGGCGCCTGGGTGGCTCAGTTGGTTAAGCGACTGCCTTCGGCTCAGGTCATGATCCTGGAGTCCCGGGATCGAGTCCCATGTCGGGCTCCCCGCTCGGTGGGGAGTCTGCTTCTCCCCCTGACCCTTTCCCCTCTCATGCTCTCTCTCACTCTCTCTCTCTCTCTCCAATAAATAAATATAATCTTAAAAAAAAAAAAAGATTTAAAAAGAATTCCTTGGTCCCTAACTGCTCTCTGTAGCTGTAATAATTCTATGCATATTTCCTAAACTATATCATGTCACAGGTATTGATGTTTTGAGAAACCAAGGCCCGTATTTTATTTATTTATTTATTTATTTATTTATTTATTTATTTATTTATTCATTTATTTATTTAAAGATTTTATTTATTTGACAGACAGAGACACAGTGAGAGAGGGAACACAAGCAGGGGGAGTGGGAAAGGGAGAAGCAGGCTTCCCGCCGAGCAGGGAGCTCGATGCGGGGCTCGATCCCAGGACCCTGGGATCATGACCTGAGCTGAAGGCAGACGCTTAAAGACTGAGCCACCCAGTGCCCCAAGGCCCTGTATTTTAATTCAATGTACTATCCAGAAGGCTAAAGATCATTTTTTAAATTTCCTGATCCGGACTCTTGAGGTCTTTAATATCTGTGTTGTCTTACACCACAGCACTTTTTGCTTTTCACCAATTTAAAATAATCTATGAATAGATAATTCGGATTTAAGAATAATTACTCAGTTGTGTCCCACATATTTATTGACATTATCACTAGATAAGTCAAAGACACTCAGGCCCAGGTACCTTCATTACAAGTTCCTATATTTATTTAAATGGATTAGCACTGTGGTAAGTATTGCTGAGGATATTTGGAAATACTGTCTCTTTTCCTCATTTTGGGTAACAATGACAACGTAAACACGATCCTGAAAATAGCCACACCCAGTTGTTCTGTGCTCAGTGTGTGTCAAGCACTGCAACAGGGGATTTATATACATCCTGTTCCTTAAACTCTATAGCAACCTTGTGATATGGGCATCATTACCATCATTATTTTGCTGATGAGGAAATTTGCTTAAGAGGCTAAGTCCCTTGCCAAGGTCAAAGACAGTAAAGAACAGAATGAGCTTTCCAACAAACTGGGGAGGACAGGACAGATACGAATATGAGAAAAAAGAACATATTATGTGCCAAGTTCTATTAGCTGTAGGAACAAACTATATGCTGAAATACCCCAAAGCTGCTCTTATTCCTGGCCCTCTAGTTTCCAAACCCCTCCAGCCCTGTGGGTGCCCCTAACTAGAAGGCGTTCTACAGGGCCCGGTGGGCGGGCTGCACATCCGTGCCTGCGTCTCTGCAGAGCTCCCAGCCGTACCTGCCGTGTGCAGAGGAGTTCTCCCGATTTTGCTCTCTGTCTTCCAGGCGGTTGGGCAAACAGTGAGCAAGTACTGGAGGATCAGAGGGTCACCCTCTCGGCTGGCAATGTGGAGACTATTCCAGCCGTCTTTGTTCTTCAGAAGTGGGTTGGCACCATGTTCTACAAGGTCCTGGATCACCTCCAGATTCTTCCTTGTGCAGGCCATCATCAAAGGAGTCCTAAGGCCAATCAGGACAAACTGTCAGACAGAAGGGCAGCTGAGACATTAGAAGTGAGCAGCTGGGTCTTCAGAAAAGCACATGCCCTTGGCAGAGATGGAAAACCTAGAGGACTCAAGGGTCTGGGAAGCAGGAAAACAGCATTGACTGGCAACTTCTTTGCCTGCTGTGAGACTGGGAGAAATAAGAAAGGGAAAGTGATTAGGATGTAGGCGTGCCTGCCTGCAGGAGGAGAATACCGAGGAGACAAACCTGCTTCTGGACAAGTTTAGACTATGGGACCAAACTGAGACAGAGTTAATCAAAATCATAGACAGTTTGTCTTGAATAATGTATTTTTAAAAAGATTTTCTTTATTTATTTGAGAGAAAGAGAGAGCACAAGCAGGGGGAAGTGGCAGAAGGACAGGGAGAAGCAGGTTCCCCACTGAGCAGGGAGCCCAACATGGGTCTCGATCCCAGGACCTCAGGATCACGACCTGAGCTGAAGGCAGATGCTTAACCAACTGAGCCACCCAGGCGCCCATGTCTTGAATAATATTTGTGTAAGAGATACTCCCCTGGACTTATCCCATTCACTTCAATCAGTAATCATTTATGAATTAAATTGTGCTGAAAAAGGGCTAAAAAAGAACATTTGACACAGTGCCTACCCATTAGGAGCATACATTGCTGACATAAACGGAACAGTGTGATTACAATAAGTTTCTGAACTGATTTGTGTTCACAATTATGGGAATAAACTACATTAATATCAAAGGAGGTGGATCTATCCTTTCTCTTCTCATAAATGATCTTGGATGAGCAATTTCAGTTCCATGAGCTTCTGGTTTGTCATCTGTAAAATGAGAGAGACATAACCCTTGGAAAGCAAGGGCAGGTCTTATTTACCTCCTGATTCCCAGGGTTAGGACCCATGTCTGGCACACAGTGGGAGCTCACTATACCTAGGAGACCTCTAAGGCCACATCTAGGATCTATCTTCTAAGATTGCTATGACATTAATTAATTACCAACACTTTTGCGGGGGGGATGTAGCAATGAGAGTGAATGAGAAGTTACAGAGGGAGAAACCCAGATAAATGAAGGCTGGAACTTTCCAGAAGGACTTCACAGAGGGAATAAATCTTGAGCAAGGCAGGATGATTGGAAAAGCAGGGAAGGTATTGCAGAAAGCCAGAAAGGTGAGAATGGGCAAAAATTTCTCACTGCAACTACACCTCTCACATACAAACTCAAATGAACTTTGCCTCTTTAATGGATTTTTGGGGAAAGGCCAGTTCCCTAACCACAGAATTGTTCTGAGGCATGTATGAGGTAATATGTCTGTTGGAATGGTCTTTAGACCAGTTCACCAGCAGCAGAAGAAAATCAGTCTTGTGCTAAGTCACAGCCAAAGTGCAGCCCTCAAAACATAACCATGCTGACTCCCTCATCCCAGCAGGCAAGATGCACTTTATTTAACTGTAAGTCTATCTGCTGTGGTTCATATTTATATCAGATCAGAAATCACTTGCAGGCAGGAACTTCGTTATGTTATGAATCTTGGGATGTTCATCACCACATAGTGAGTACTGGAAACAATGTCTGTCTGACAAAATGCAATTGGTTTGTGTGATGGTACCTCGGAATATCTTGTCTGTGGAGGTGCTCACGCAAGGCTATTCATGTGATAAAATCACATAAAGCACCACACACACTGAAGTGTCTGTGTAACTGGTGAAATCTGATTAAATACATCCACCGTAGTAGCAGTGTCAATTTCTTTCTTTCTTTTTTTTTTTTTTAAAGATTTTATTTATTTATTTAAGAGAGAGAATGAGAGAGAGAGAGAGAGCACACGAGAGGGGGGAGGGTCAGAGGGAGAAGCAGACCCCCTGCCGAGCAGGGAGCCCGATGCGGGACTCGATCCCAGGACTCCAGGATCATGACCTGAGCCGAAGGCAGTCGCTTAACCAACTGAGCCACCCAGGCGCCCCAGTGTCAATTTCTTAGTCTTGGTATTGCACTATAGCTGTGTAAGATGGTAACTTTGGGGGAGTCTGGGGGAAGGGCGCACGGGGCTTCCCTGAACATTTCTTTGCAACCTTCTGTGAACCTCTATTCCAAAATAACAAATTAAAACAATGCTACTGGTGAAGTAATCATTTAGCTAGGCGAGGCTCAAGCTATAGGTAGTACAGACAATTCATTGTTTGATCGTATTCCATACTGTTTCATAAAGGGAAAGGGTTTGGAACAGAGGACTGGAACAGTTTAATCCCGTAAGAGTACCCCACTGTTCACAGAGGGTAATCTGTCCTCCAGGGGTAGGCTCAGAAGCTATGGTGTCGAGGCGAAAAAGTACACGGGAATCCATAACTCTGCGGAGAAGTTGGGGGGGGGCGTCTTTCGGGAACCCCAGCCACCTACCAGTCGGCTTTCTTCAGGCAGTCGACCGCGGCTCCTCTGCCCAGCAGGTAGCGCACGCAGTCCCGGTGGCCCTGCGAGGCAGCCTCGTGCAGAGGCCGCTTGTAGTCTCGGTTGGTGGCCTCGATGTCCATGTCCCAGGTCTCGACCAGATAGGCCAGCACGTCCCGATGCCCGAGGCGGGCGGCGCAGTGCAGGAGGGTGTCCCCGGCGGGCCCCGGGCAGTCCGCGCGCCCGGCTCCCCGCAGCTCCTCCCGCAGGGCGCACAGCTGGCCTTCCTGCACCAGCCGGTAGAGCCGCCGCGGGTCCCCCGGCGCTGCCATGGCCGCGGGCGCCGGTGGCGGAGGAAGGGGCGTGCGGGCCCCCAGCCCTGACCCCCGCGGTCCCCGGGACGCCCGGACCTCCGCTGCTCTATGCGCGGGTGGTCCTCCAGCGGGCGACTCGCCTCGCCCACCGCCGCGGACGCGCGCTCCGGATGCGGGCCCGGCTGTGCTCACGGGCCCAAGGCTCGTTCCCAGGCTGCCGCCCGCACGGGCTGCATTTGGGGGAGCCACATCAGATGTGAGGGGTGCTGCCGCCCAGCCGGCCCCGGGCCAGTGCTCGCTCCACGCGGCAGCAGGGTCCGCCCGGCCCCGACAGCAGCCAGCTGGGCGGCGGCGGCGGCGGCGGCGGAGGAGCCGGCGCGGGGCTGCACCCGAGAGGGGCCGGGATCCCAGCCGGGACCGCCGCCTTCCCGTCGCCAGGCAGCCGCGGGCCCTCAGGGAGGGGGTGGGGCCCCGCGCGTCCCCACCCTCAGCCCCTCCCTCACCCAACCTCAACCACCCCCTCCACTCCCGGCCGCGACCCCTCCTCGGGTTCGCGGGCGCTCGGAGGAACTCTGGGAAAGTTTCCACTCGCCTCCTCGGCCCCAGCGGAAGCACGGACGGGGCGGGGTCCGCTGGCGGTAGCCGCGCCCCCTGGGGAGCGCGTTCCGATTGGTCGCTGGAGCAGTCCGTCAGCACGCCCCCTCCGTGTGCCGTTCCGATTGGACGTGCAGGCAGTCCGTCAGCCCTGGCGGCGGGCTCTTCCCGGGGCTGCGGCTAGGGCGGAGCTGGGGGAGGAAGTCCGCGGCCTGCTCGGGCTGGCGCTGCCCTGGGGACGCTGGGGCTGGGAGGCCGGGCGGCCCGGGCCCTGCGGTGGCGGCGGCGGCGGCGGCGGCGGGAGGCCCGGTCCGGAGCGCCATAGTGCGTGAGGCCGCGGACGTGGCAGGGAGCGCGGGCGGGGCTCTGCCGTGTGGACACTTCAGCTCTTGGGGTCCTGAGCGGGGGTCCGGCCTGGCGGGGCTGGGAGCAGGTCCGCGGGGGGCGTGGGGGCCCGGGACGAGCACAGCTGTGCAGGAGCTCGGGTCCGCCGCGGGCTGCCAGGCTGGAGGGGGTCGGCGGGGCGTGCACGCAGGAGGGCGAGGGGCGCCCCCACACTGCGTCTTGCGGCCGGGGAAGGGGGGTGCTGGTCGTTCACCGTCGGTTGCAGAAGGAGTCACGGGGGACGTGGCCTCGGTGGCTGACAAGCCCGCATTTCCTTTTCTACCCTGGTGTTTTGACCTTGGGCGAGTCATTTGATTGTGTCTTCTTGCGACTCTTTCATTTGTAGGTTCCTTATCTGAATACCTCTCCTCTGAATACTAAGAAAATTAGGGTGATGTGGGAAGGCCTTGAGCTTGTCCTGTGGAGGGTACGTTGAGATCTAAGCAAGCTGAATGGGGTGATGAGAAAGATTAGGGCAGGTGCTGAATTCTTAACCAGGTCTTATTGGGTACTAGTCATTCAGGCCTCCTGGTTTTTCAGTCCAAAAGTTGCTACTCTTTGCCGAGCCTGGAAACAGTTATGCTTTACATTTTGTGTTACGCTGTATGGTTTACAGAGTACGTTAATTAATTTGCAGACAGCCCTGTGAGGCAGTATTACGGGTGGGGAAATCGATGCCTCAAGAAGTTAGTGATTTCCCCATGGAGCTAGAGGTAGTGAAGTCCTCTGGAACAAAGGGTGGTGGCACCTAGTAAGCTCCTGCTGGGGCCTGGCACTGTGCTCACATAAATTAAGGGAGATAAAATGAAAGGAGACCTCTGGTAGGACCCATGCAAACAAGCCCATTTCACTAATGAGCAGATTGAATTTGGTTAATTTACTGAATAATATGAGTAGTCACTGGAGACAGAACTGGGTCCAATATCAGCTTTGCCGAAGTTATTGTTCCATTATATCTTGCCACTTCAGCAAGGGTAGGCTTAAAAGTATTTTGAAATGCGTCAAGTTTTAGAACATGCCCAGCATTGCTCTTACTGCGGCTGTTGGATTGGTACAAATGGAAGCTTAGGCATCTTGTAACTTCAATTTTTTTTTGCTGCTCATGCCCCCCAGCCCCATCCTAATCACAAACGACCCCACTTTTTCTTGCCTTATGTCTCCAGTTTCCGTTTTTATTTTTTTATTTTTTAAAGATTTTATTTATTTGACAGAGAGACACAGCAAGAGAGGGAACACAAGTGAGGGAGAGGATGAAGCAGGTTCCCCGCAGAGCAGGGAGCCTGCTGTGGGGCTCGATCCCAGGACCCTGGGATCATGACCTGAGCTGAAGGCAGATGCTCAACGACTGAGCCACCCAGGCACCCCTGGTTTCCCTGTTTTTAAAAACAAAATGGGGACACATGGATACACATAAGAATAGTTCTTTTTTTTTTTTTTTAAAGATTTTATTTATTTGACAGAGCACAAGCAGGGGGAGCAGCAGGCAGAAGAGGGAGACGCAGGCTCCCCGAGGAGCAGGGAGCCTGATGCAGGGCTTGATCCTAGGGCCCCGGGATCATGACCTGAGCCAAAGGCAGTCACTTAACCAACTGAACCACCCAGGTGCCCCACGATAAGAATATTTCAAATCCAGATAATTGGTCACTTACCTGGTGCCCTCAATGCAAATCCTCTCCTGTGTTCTTTAGGAATGTAGCTTCTGTATCCCCCTATAGATAACTAGATGATAACGTATACACATCTGACCATGGCCCTTGTGATTTTCTAGAGGAAAAGCTTGGTGTAGAGGAGAGGAATCTGTACAGTAAGCTGACAGATGGAACTGTGTTTTGGTCTTGCTGATTTCCCAGTTGGGCTGCCCATTTCTTTTCCGCAGGCTTTTGGAATTTGTGGTTTGCTATTTAGTGTCTCATTTCTCTTGTAGTCAGTATTGGCATTGGGATTTGCTACGTGGCTGTCTTCTCTCCTTTCTCATACGTTGTATTTCGTGGTCCTGTAGCATTCAGCTACGGTCATCGGTGTCCTGATTGTTGGCGTGTTCTGTGGTCTGTGAGTGTGTGAACACTGTTGGTATTGGTCATAGAACTGTGAGTTCAGTTTTGCTGCCGTCATCTTTTCTCTGCTGCTTCTCATATCCCTCTATCCTTTCTAGGCGGATTTTATTTGAAAACCGAATTGGATTCTATCTTTGCCCTTCTGGCTTGGAAATCACTTACTCCTAGAAATTTATCTCACAGCATCTCACATCTTACGGCTTCTACTGTCACTCACATGCCTTTTGAGGACCAGTCTCCTATTTCAAAGTTCAGCTTGGAGCTTAAACCGGCATCCCACAGATAACTTTAAAACGAAGCAAAACAAACAACTGCTTTCAAAACGGGAAAACTTTCATCTTCCCCTTCCAGGAAAAAGCAAGAAAAACAAAAACACTCTCTTTTACTCCTTAACGTGGTTGATGACGTGACTTCTGGGTTCCCGCTAGAAATGTCAGTTACCTTTGTCACTCCTTCTCTTTCATCGTTCTTCTCAGTCTTGTTGAAGAAGATGTGTTGATTTTCCTGTTCCTCTCCTCCCTATTTCTGCTGCTGCTCAGGCCTTTCCCAACTCTTGTCTCGGGTAAGGAAGTGGCTTTCTGTCTGATTTTCCTGGCGGTCTCTGTGTCTGCCCATCCTCTACCCAGCTTCCAGGATGACTGTTGTAGAGTGTGAATCTGACTCTACTTTGGCCCTGCTGGTAAGCTAGATGATCTCCCGAAACACCTACATGGTGAAGCCCACAATTTCTTTAGTGCTCTATTTAAGGACCTTTACAATCTGTGCCTTCAAATTCCTCTTCCAGCCTTCTTCCCCATCTGTGAACCTCTTGTTCTAATGAAATTCGACTTCCCACTGCACCAGTGCTGTGCTATTTCTCTGTGTTTTGTACATAGTGTTTCTTTTGCCCTACTGAATCCTACTCGTCTTCTGAGGCTGACTCTTCATAAAGTCTTTTTCAGCATCCCTCCTCTGTTCACTTTACTCTCACAGCACCGCATGTGTATAGTGCCTGATGTACGGTGATTTGTGATTGTTTTGCTCGCTGCCTTATGCACAGGCAAAATTGTTTGTGTTTTGTACGCTCGCTGTTTAGCATTCGACACCAGAGAGGAAGGCTTCATGGTGTTTATAATGAATCTGGGATATAGTGACAACTTAAAAGTGCTTGTGGAATGAATTGACAGAAGGAAAAGCCTTTCAAATATATAAAAATATACTCTAGGCTGTAAGTAACAGTAATTTTCTTATTTTTCCTTTCTTTTCACCGTTCCTTCTTATCCTTGTGAGAAACCTGCATCTCCGTCCTTGTGTGTTCTAATAAATGAATGCTTTCTCTTCGGGAGGAGCAGGTGTTTGCAGGGTGTGAGATGATCTGAGGAAGATCAAGCCTGGCTCGCAGGCTTGTGGGATTTCTAGAGAAGCAGGATGTGGCGATGGGAGGCACCCTGTCAAGGGAGCTAGGACCACAGTATCTTCTTTCTGCGTTTATTTCTTGCAGTGCTAATGGGGACACAGTATTTTGAAGTTTTTCCATTTTGAGCTTACTGTAGTTAGTGATTATTTTCTTCACAGTTATGTTTTCTAAATACTCACTTGTTATTAAGTCTTCGGTTATGACGTTTCACAATGATGAAAAAAAGTGACCTAGAAATCAAGCCTGAAGTTTTCAGAGGCTGCTTTAAAGCCTGCTGGATACAGAAGGCGGAATGTTACAGGAGAAAGAACACTGCCCCTGGGGAGTCCGAACAGCTAAGTGCTGTCGCCTACAAGCTGTTGTGACTTGAAGCAAGCCTCCTCTGAGCCCCGGTTAAAGCGTGGCCCAGTCGTAGGATCTGGTGAGGTTCCAGTGAGGATATGAAAAGGAACTTCTGGGTTTCGAAGTCAAGGAAGAACCGAACTTCTATGGAGGGAAGCAGGGGAGCACTGCGGGGGTGCATTTGTCTGATCGCCAGTTACACATGGAGAGGTATGTGTTGGGTGCTGGGCTGAGGGAGGCCCTCGCTCCTGCCTCCCGCCAGATGACAGAGCTTTCAGTCCAAGTGGAAGACATGTTAATACGCACACAAACAGTTGATGATAATATAATAACAGTAAAATACACTATAGTAATTTGCATATGAGGCATATCTAATACACAGTTTTACAGATCATTGTTACAAGTATCTCAGAGACCTACAGGGTGGTTTTATTACTGCAAAGTACTTCCTGGCTTGAATGAATACTTCCTGCAGGGCTGAAGTTGGGAAATAATACATTAACTGGTTAAATTGAGCCCTTAGGTCTCACAGGTTGCAATTTGACCTGTGAAGTACCTGGATCCTTGCCATAATGGGCCACATTGCAGCGCACCCTGCTATCTCCATAGGAAACCCAAGACGGAAAGTGTCCACTTATCTGTCTTCACTGAGCCCCTCTGAGAAAAGCAGGCGGCTTGTGGGGAACTAACAGGATGAGGTTAGGTGACTCAGTAAGTTAGCAGAACTGCCCTCTGTGGTTCTTTTAGGAGCAGTCTGTCTGGTCAGGTACTTTGTCCTAGACAATTACCTTTTCTTTTTCTT